TGACAGAGAGTCACCAATTAAACAGCAATCTCTGTGTTTCCTATACAGAATTATGGTAAAGAGCTGAGTGCTGGGTTCAGAGACATTTTCTCCATTAGTCTGTATTTCCTTGATTCAAAATATTTGATGAAAATAGATTTTAATGTTTTAGAGTTCAGAATATCTTATAATCAATGTCAAGAGAAATCTCTTCATTTCCAGAGAGCTTTAGGTTATGCTGTGTTTGTCATTGTGTATGAGCACACTTAATAGTTCAAAAATATCTTTTATCTGACTGCCAACTCAGATGAGTTTTTGGTAATAGTTCTTGATGCAGTCAATCAATGTAATTCTTAAAGATCTCCAATTGGTTTTTAACATCTTTTAAACGTTACAGGATAATTCAGCAAAAGCCAAACTTTATTTTTTAATGTGGAATATTGTTATATGCCAAAGAGTAAATTTTAAAAGAATATGGATTGGAATTTGGACTAAATCAGAAAATATTCAGTTTCAAGAGATTTGTGTGACTAATTCATGTGCAGAGAAGTTTTACTTGAGAATGGTATACCTATTACAAGGTTCCAGATAAACATTTCCCCTAAAATATTGAATGGAAATCATATAAAATATATTATGAAAAAGTTAATAAACTCCTTTCCCATCCTTCCAGCCATTTCCATTCTCTATTCTTCCCTCAGAGGAGGATTCTTACAGTGCCTCTGTTCGTGCTCCTGCATGATGTATATATTTAGATGAGTATGTTATATTCTTTTTAAAAATAGCAGTATTATTATACTAATTACAAGACTCTGTAGCGAATATGTCAGTAACACACCTACACCCTCTCAAATCTCTGCTATTCCTGTGCACACTGGTTCCTGGTGTAGTTGCTGTCCCAGCAGCCTGGTCCTGCATCATTTGGTGAACAGATCATCCTCAGGTTGCTGGAACACGCTCTACATGTGTGTTCAGGAGGTCAGTTGTACCTGAGAATTTCTAACCTCAGCCTCAACCTCTAACCCTTGACCAGTGACCCATAGATGCAAATCTGTAAGCGTCAGCTCTCTTGCCCCATCATGTCTATAATGTAGTCAGTCATTCCAGTTAATTTCCTGTTTTTTTTTTTGATACTGAAAGCAATACAGTAATATATAATTTTGTACACATGAGGGCATTTAAAAAAGTTTGTGGAAATGGAATGGAAAGATAAGCATATTCAGGGGCAAAAATTTTAAAATTCATGTATATGACAGGTCTTCAGTAAGTTCATGGAAAATGTGCATCATGAAATGCTGTGCATGGGGTTCATTTTTTTTTGCTCAAAAATAAACTTACCTTTTGATTCCATTTTCCATGAACTTTTTGAAGTGCTCATGTCCTATGTATTTACACAAATTGATGTTTGTGCTTGAAAGCGATCCTCCACTGAAGTGAACTAAAGTCGAACTAAGTCATTGTCTACAATATTGAGATAAAATGGTTGACTAGGAATTGTGAAGAGAAAGAAGGACTGGTGTTATGGTGCAGTGGCACCAGTTCAAGTCCCGGCTGCTGCATTTTCTGTTCCAGTTCTCTGTTAGCATGCATGGGAAGGCAGTGGAGGATGGCCCAAGTGCTTGGGTCCCTGTACCTACGTAGGAAATTCAGATGGAGCTCCTCTCCTGGCTTCGGCCTGGCCCAGCCCTGGCCAGTGCAGCTATTTGGGGAGTGAACCAGCAGATGGAAGATCTCTCTCTGTCTATCTCTCCCTCCTGCTCTCTCTAACTCTGCCTTTCAATAATAAATAAGAAGAGAGATTTAAGGGGGAGGGGAACCAAGCCAAAGAATTTTATGGGGGTGAGCATTTGGTGTAGCAGTTAAGTTGCTACTTGGAATACCTGTATTTCATGTTGGGATTCCTGGCTTGAGTCCTAGCTATTCTGCTCCAACCCAGTTTCCTGCTGATGCACACCCTAGGAGATAGTAGATAATGGCTTGAGTACTTGGATTCCTGTCTCCCACAAGGGAGATCTGGTTGGAGTTCTGGGCTTCTGCCTTCTGCCTGGCTCAGCCCTGGCTGTTGCATGCATTTGTGGAATGCACCAGCAGATGGGAGGTCTCTTTCACTCTCTTTCAAATAAAATGCAAAAAACAAAAACAAAAAATTTGTTTAAAAGGATTTTTGGTTCTTTCAAAAAATATTGAGGGGCCGGTGCCGTGGCTCACTTGGTTAATCCTCTGCCTGCGGCATCGGCATCCAATTTGGGCACTGGGTTCTAATCCTGGTTGCTCCTCTTCCAGTTCAGCTCTCTGCTATGGCCCAGGAAGGCAGTGGAGGATGGCCCAAGTGCTTGGGCCCTGCACCCACATGGGAGACCAGGAGAAGCACCTGGCTTCTGGCTTCGGATCGGCGTAGCTCTGGCTGTAGCGGCCATTTGGTGGCGGGGGGGGGGGGCGGGTGGTGGTGGTGGAAATATGTATTGACTGATTTCCTGCTATATGCAGACTCTGTATAGAATGTAGTATTCAATGGAGAACAAAACAGAGATGTTTCCTGATCTCATGGAGCATGTCCAGTCAGGGAATAAGATATGAAGCAATGATCTCATAAGTGAATATTTGTAAATTGGGTAAGTGCCATGAATAACAAATAAAGGGGGGCCGGCACTGTGGCACGGTGGGTTAATCTTCCGCCTGTGGCACCGGCATCCCACATGGGTGCCAGTTTGAGACCCGGCTGCTCCTCTTCCGATCCAGCTCTCTGCTATGGCCTGGGAAAGCAGTAGAAGATGGCCCAAGTCCTTGGACCCCTGCACATGCATGGGAGACCCAGAAGAAGCTCCTGGCTCCTGGCTTCGGATCAGCGCAGCTCCGGCCATTGCGGCCAGTTGGGGAGTGAACTGGTGGATATAAGACCTCTCTCTCTCTCTCTCTGCCTCTCTGTGTAACTCTTTCAAATAAATAAATAATCTTTTAAAAAAAAAAAACAAATAAAGGATGCTCTGCCAGAGCATAACTGGGGACCGGCACTGTGATGTAGCGGGTAAAGTCGCCACCTGCAGTGCCAGCATCCCTTATGGGAGCCAGTTCAAGTCCTAGTTACTCCACTTCTGATGCAGCTCTCTACTGTGGCCTGGGAAAGCACTGGAAGATGGCCCAAGTCCTTGGGCCCCTGCACCTGTAGGGGAGGTGGTAGAAAGTGATCTTTGGTGAAGGTGTGATAAAGTAACAAAATATCCTTGTGGTGGAACAGAAGGAGGTCTGTGTGTGAGAGGAGGTCATATCAGCAGGAGAAATGTCTGACTTATAGGTGTATCATGCTGAGGTATCTGAAGGATCAGAATCCCACCACCACTACCACTCCCTGTAAAAGGAAAACCTGGTGGAAGTAAACAATAGAGGGCTAGGACTTGTGAGGTAGGACAGAAATTGAGGGAGGGAAAATGGAGACCAAGAGACCAGGAGAAGATCTTGATACTCATAAAGATCCCTGGCACATGGTAGGTGTTCAGTAAATAATTGTTGAACAAATGAATGCATGAATGATACTCCCCAGGAGTAGATTACACATAAGAGAGAACAAGGCACTGTTTTGCATCAGCCCTGGAATCTCTATGTGAACTTGATAGTTTAACAATTAAAATTTTTTCTGGTAATATCCTATGCCTGTCATTATTTTCAAACACTAAGAGCTCATCTGATATTCTTGAAGGGTTCTTCAAAAAATTAATGAAAAATGTTTGTTAAGAAAAAAAAAACAAAAAAAAAAAAAGAAAGAAAGAAAGAAAGAAAGAAAAAACCAGGGCTTGGGGCCAGCACTGTGGCACAGCAGGTTAACACCCTGGCCTGTAGCACTGCATCCCATGTGGGCACCAGTTTGAGACCCGGCTGCTCCTCTTCCGATCCAGCTCTCTGCTATGGCCTGGGAAAGCAGTAGAAGATGGCCCAAGTGCTTGGGCCCCTGCACTGTAGGAGACCTGGAGGAGGTTCCTGGCTCCTGACTTTGGATCGGCACAGCTCCGGCCATTGTGGCCAATCGGGGAGTGAACCATTGGATGGAAGACCCCTCTCTCTCTTGCTCTCTCTCTCTCTCTGCCTTTCCACTGTCTGTGTAACTCTGACTTGCAAATAAATAAATAATTCTTAAAAAAAAAACAAAAACAAAAACAAACCAGGGCTGGTGCTGTGGTGTAGCATTTAAAGCTACTGCCTGTGATGCTGTCATCCCATATGGGCACTGATGCAAGTCCCAGCTGCTCCACTTCCAATCCTGATCCTCTGCTTATGTACCAGGGAAAGCAGTGGAGGATGGTCGAAGTCCTTGGGCCCCTGCACTCATGTGGGAGACCCAGAGGAAGCTCCTACCTCCCGACTTCAGCCTGGCCTAGCCTTGGCCATTGCGGCCATTTGGGGAGCCAGCAGATGGAAGATTGCTCTCTCTCTCTCCCTCTCATTCTGTAACTCTGCCTCTTCAGTAAATAAAATAAACCTTAAAAAAAAAATCTTGAGAAAGCTTGGCAGGGAATCTTTCTTCATGACAATGCTCCTGCTTGTTTCTCTCATCAAATAAAAGCAATTTTGTTAGTTTTTGATGAGAAATTTATTAGGCATCCAACTTACAGTCCAGATTTTGTTTTCTAATCATATTAATTTTTTAAAGGACACCCATTTCTCTTCAGTTAACAATCCAGAAATTTCTTTTTTTATGCAAGTTTATTTTATTTATATTAGAAAAATACTACCTATATAAAATTTTGGTCCACTGTCTTCTCCTTTGTTTCTATCATTCAAATTTGAATATTTTAATTATACTCAAGTAAAAATAGAATCCCATGTCTGACATTAGAACTAAATATTTCACATGACAAAATTAATAGGCTTGAGTGAATTAGATATATTCTTTATCATTTCTCAGGAATAACAACTCATCATTCTCACCTACTATTCTCCTTTACTTCCATGGATTTGAGTAACTAGGTATGCGTGTCCCTTCTCCCTCATTAACATGAGTACGTAAGTGGACTTTATGGCATCATAACTGGATTCATTATCTAATCTTTAATTCTTGTTCAACTCTCTCACTTAACAAGGTATCTCCATAATAACTTTGGATATTTTAGCCAAACTCAACTTTCCAACACCAATTATAAAAATTAATGTGTCAAAGGCATAGTGAAAATTCCAGACTCGGCAACACAGGGTGCACTCAGAGTGTGGCTATTGAGAGAGGTCCTTGGACAGCTATTGCTTCGATTTCAACACGACTTCCTAAGGGCAAAGCAGCAACCTGGTAAGCAGCCCTCGCAGGAAAATTACTCTTGAAATACTGCTTGTAGATTTCATTGACAGTCGTGAAGTCGTTCATGTCAGCCAGCAAAACAGTTGTTTTCACCACGTTAGTGAAGTCACAGCCTGCAGCTTTCAGAATTTCACCCATGTTTGTAAGAGCCTGCTTAGTTTCTTCTACTACCCCTACTGGCACAAGCTTTCCACTGGAAGGGGGCAAGCCCACCTGTCCTGAAACGTAAACGGTCCTGTCGACCTGCACAGCTTGACTGTAGGGACCAATGGCCGCTGGGGCTTTTGCAGTGCTTATCACCTTTCTGACCAGGGACGACATGGTTAGTCCGTGTTCTCGCACAGCTCGTCGGGAAGCAGCCACAATCCAGAAATTTCTATTGACATGTTTAAATTCCTAGGACCTTCAATTCTTCAGGGATGAACTAACCAGCTAGTATCATCACTTATGAAAATGCCTGGAACTTTATAGAGCTTATGTGGAGGCATAAGTTTATATTTTTTGCTTCCATCTTGTAAATCTTTTTTTCCAGTGAACTTTTTGAGATCCCCTCAGACATATCGTCTTTTTCTAAGTGGGAGCATTGTCAGCTGTTAATGAGTTATGTTAGTGGGCAACCCCAGGGCCAGAGCCAGAGCTGAGGGAAGAAGGTACAGAGGCTAAGCAAACAAGGTGGGCTTACTTTGCTGGACAAGATCAGCAGATACAAGATGAGGAGTCTGGATGCTTAGCTGCCATCATCCAGCACCAAAGTCAGAAGCAGTGGCTCTTGGTGGGAGTCAGGAGCTGTATGTGCACAGGGTCAGGAAAGGCATGATTAGTCAGAGAAACACATAATACCTCAAATGGAGACTTGCTGTTAAGTAGGTTGGACATAACCAGGAAGACCTCCTGGTCATCCTGAGTCACAAGTCAGAGGGGTAAGATCTGATTTGTGTTTGATTTTTCTTATGGTAACCTGAGGGTGATAATAATAACCAGTCAAGATCAATTGTTTATTAAGCCAATATCCAGAACACTGGACTAGGTGCTATGGGATATGGGAAGACTTGGATGAGAGAGAAAAAGAATTTGCACTCAGACTCAAGAATTTGCAGCCATACTGTGAATTGCATATAAAAGAAATGTTATGTCTGAAAATCCAGCAATGTAAGGCATTAAAGCAAGGGGCAGGCGCAGCGCCGGTGAGAAGAGAACTGTGCTCTTACAATTTGGAGGAAAGAGGGTAGGCTCGGGGACTTTAAAGATACAAGGTTTGAACCAGACCTGGAAAGATGATAAGGAGGAGGATGATTTAGGTTAAGCAATGGTTTCAAAAGTCTGTAACTGGTGTTATCTTTTCCTGTGCTCCTGCTTCTCCAGGTTCTACTAGTCCCCAGTGGATGAAGTGCCTACTTTAAGAGGGAACAGGGGACCTGATCCTGGCATTGCCCCAACGGTTTGTCACCCCTGGCTGATCTCTGCAAAGGCGGAGGCATTGACAGCAGCACACAAACTTCCTGCCATAGACCAGCCTGGTAGTGTGGGCTATTGTTGTTTTCAAAAGCCGAATGTGTGAACCATGCTGTTAAGGTCATCGGCAAAAGATTTCTGGGGGCCATGTATTCTTCAAAATTTTCCACTGCCTCCTAGGACCAGCAAGGTCCAGAAGTAGAAGACAGATTTATGCCCTTTGGAATTTTGATTGCTTTGAAAGAACAATCCTTAGGCACTTAGGATTGGTTAGTGTAGTAAATTTTGCTTCACAACAGCTGTTCTCCCTCTCTGAGCTACTTCTAAGTTCCTGGCAGTGTTCCCATATAAGGGTGGCCCTGTCTGGAGAAGCCTAGGCCTTTTCCTTCCTTTTATTATTATTTTCTTCAAGTGGTGGAACCAGCAGTCACTACTCCTTCCTACTCTCCCCTGCCCCACAGTTTCTGACCTCTCCCCATTGACACTTATTTTGAAACTTTTTGAGCCAGAGGAGAATCAACTTAGACTGTTTCAGACCAACAGGAATATAGAGTGTCATGGAATGGAAAGCTTTGAATACTACTGTTAATGCATTGAGTTCAATATAAGAAGACTATTTCTGTGTCTTGGCACACAGCCCAAGTTGACTTAGCTCTGCTGGATGTAGATAGAATGCATTCTGTTTGGAGAAGAAATCATGTGTAACAAATGCTTTTACAAAACCATGTCCATTTAGCAGTTACTTGAATAAGATGTGCTTCAGCAAGGGGTTTTGGTGTAAATAGCTGCATTTATGCATCAATGCAATGTTAAATTTAACATACTTTTAAAATTTTTAATTTTAGAATAGTTTTTTTTTTTAAGATTTATTTATTTGAAAGGCAAAGTTACAGAGAAGCAGAGGCAGAGAGCGAGAGGTTCTGCCACTTCACTCCCCAGGTGGCCGCAACAGCCAGACTGTCCCTATCTAAAGCCAGGATCTAGGAGCCTCCTCCAGGTCTCCCACACAGGTGCAGGGGCCCACGGACTGGACCATAGCAGAGAGCCGAATCGGAAGTGGAGCAGCCAGGACTCGAACTGCCACCTATATGGGATGCTGGCACTGCAGGCAGCTGCTTTACCCATTATGCCACAGCACCAGCCCTGAAATAGTTTTTGATTAACAGAAAAGTCACAAAGATAATATCCCATATACTCTATATCTAGTTCTCCCATTACTAACATCTTACATTAGTGTATGATATATTTGATACAATTAATAAACCAATGTTGATATATTATTTTGACTGAAGTAATACTTTCTTTGGATTTCCTTGGTTTTCACTGAATGTTCTTACCTGTTCCAGGATCACTAATTACCTTTAATCCTCTTGTCTCCATATCTTCCTCTTGGCTGTGACAGTTTCTCAGACTTTGTTTAGTTTTAATGACCTTGACATTTCTCAGAAATCTGAGTACAGTTCAGGTATTTTTGTAGAATGTCCCTAAACTGGGATTTGTCTGGTGTCTTTCTCACGATTAGACTAGAGGCTCATGTAGTTTTTGGAGGCAGACTGCAGAGATAAAGTACCATTTTCGTCACATCATACCAAGGCTGTGTACTCTCACCATGACTCATCACTGCTGATGTTGATCTTGGTCACGTTTCTGACTTTAGTGTTTGTCAGGTTTTCCCACTGTAAAGCCTCTTTGTTACTCTTTTTCTGTCTGTACTCTTTGGAAAAATGTTACTCTGTGCAGGCCACACTTAAGAAATTATTTGGAATTCTTTCGTGTGAGAAATTTGTCTCTTCACTCTCATTTATTCATTAGTCTATTAGTCTATTTATATCAGTATAGATTGACTGATTTTAATACATTGTATAATAATTAAATACTACTTTAATTTTAGTGCTCAAATTATTCCAGTATTGGCTATTAGAAACTCTTTTTATTAAATGATTAATTAATTTATTTTTATTTATTTGAAGGTCAGAGAGAGAGAGAAAAAGAGAGAGAGAGAGAGTCTTCTTTCCCCTGATTCACTCCCCAGATGGCCACCATGGCCAGGGCTGGGCCAGGTCAAAGCCAGGAGCTAGGAGCTTCATCCTGATCTCCCATGCTTGAGCCATCTTCCTCTGCTTTTCCAAGCATATTAGTAGGGAGTTGAATTGGAAATGGAGCAGCCGAGACTCAAACTGGCACCCATATGGGATGCCAGCACTGCAGACAGCAGCTTAACCTGCTGAGCCACAGCACTGACCCCCAGTATTAGAAGCTCTTATAGTTGGCTCCTGTGTCGCTTTGACACACCCCATCATTGTAAGGTATTTTTTTTTTATCACTTCCTTACTTTCTGGCACTAAAACATACTCCAGGGTCACCTTATGTGTTTCCTTCCCAGGCCTAGCATCAGCTATTTCTCATGAGAGTTCTGGTTTATTTTATTTTAGAATGGTTATGGAAACAAAGATATGGGGGCTGGGTGTGGTCATTTTACTAGGATATCATTGACATCAAGCCCCTCAGTTGACAGAGCAAGGAAATCTTTGTGTATCCTAAGCCTTTCCTAATTCACACAACTATAAATATTGCTGTTTATTTATACATGTCCATGTTGAACCAAACATGAGTTCATATCTATGTCTCTTAATGTAATATGTTACCACATGAGTGATATTGGGCCATCTTCTGCTGCCTTCTCAGGCACATTAGCAGGGAGCTAAATTGAAAGCAGAGCTGCTGGGATTGGAACTGGTGCTCTGATACAGTATGCCAGCATTGTAGGTGGCAGCTTAACCTGCTGTGCCACAACGCTGGTCCCAATCTCACCATTCTTTAAATGAAGTCACAGTTTACTCATTATCTCTGCAGACCTCTAGGATACTTAAAAAATCAGAACACTTAGGATTGTGGTATATGGTAAGGGAGTAAAGAGGGTATTTCAACAACCAAAAAAGGTAAGATATATTTTGTAGCTCAAATTAAGAGTGGTTATGAATCAGTAGTGAAATACTTGATGTAAACTAAGGTAATTCTGGTAATTCTAAACAATACAGACTTCTTCAAGTACTGGAGTTGGGTTAGATAATTGCCTGTGGCTTAATATCTTCATCTCAAGTCTGCAAACTCATTGAGTGCTGTTCTGCTTCAAGCCTCTGTGCTGTGTGCTCTAGGCTTACTTTGTTCTGGTGTCACTGTCTGATCATATACTTTCCCTTTGGAAGAGCTGACTATTCTGTGACCTTCAAGGGTTTCTCTTAGCTTAGACTTCAGGGCATTCCTCCGTGAGTTAAAGCCACTGGCTTATCCTGGGAACAGAAAGATGGGGGAGACATCAGGTCATATTTTGCTCACCATTCACTCACTCCCTCTCTCACCACGGTCCCAATTCTACAGTTGCTGGTTTAATATGTAGGGTCACTTTACATTTCTGCTCTCATTCCCCACGGGGGCTCTTTGGTTACTTCTGAAAAATAAATGGAAGAGACTGGAGGGAGAGGGATAGGAGAACAAAAGACAACGTTTTCTTTAATCTGAACACAAATCTGGTGCATAAGTGAAGAAGAAGGGAACTCATACTTGTTGAATGCCAGCTGTCTGCCAGGGTCTCTACTGGGAATTCGCACGTACTTATTCTCTTTCTTCCCCTACAATGGGGAAGTTTACAGACAAACTGAGGTTCAGAAGCGCTTACAAACTTGACTAAGATCACGTAGTAATGACTTGACTCTTGATCTTAACTGCACAGGCCTGATAGCATATTAAAATCATCTTAGTCCTTAAAGAAAAACAACCCATGAGCCTACCCAAAATTAAATTAAATCCCAATCTCCAAGGGTGAGGATGGGCTTTTGCACTTTTTTTCTTAGTGCTCCAATCGTTATAATGTGCAGCTAGGATTGAGAACTGTGGCTGTGTTCTCAGAGACAGTTCCTCTATT